AACTCAGAAATCCAGTTACCACTCACAGAAAACTTGTCCCCCCAGTACTTTCTTCAACTTTGAATGCCTGCCCCCTGAACTTGGAAAATGGCCAATCCCTGGAAACCTTGGAACCCTTGGACAACACAGAGACAAAACAATTTGGATCAGCAACAGAAGTAATTTCAGCAAAAATTCCCTCAGAAATATCCTTACCATGTGCCATGCTTGAGGAAAATTGCTCCCCAGTAGCACCTGTAACCTTGGAATTTCCCCCTCAGCTCCTGGAAAATAGCCAGAATTTGGATCCCTTGGATAAAAATCAATCAGTATATCTTGGATTACAAAGCAAAATTTGTGCAGGAATCATATTTTCAGAAGAGGACTTATCAGTAGGAAAATTTATACAGACAACAGTTAATCCTATTCCTGAATTGCAAAACTCCCTGACAATCCTAGTGGAAGAGAAAAATGAGGGAAAATTTAGTCAGAATACAAGAACAGAGGATGTATCAGCCTTGGATTCAGTAAAGTCAATTCAGTCCCCCACAATAAACTCAACAATTTTTGCACCTGAAGGAATTGGAACCCCAGAAGAGCCCATTCCAAATATTACACCCAACTTATTACCAGAAATTGATTCTATCCCCCATTCACAATTAAATTCCATGGAGACCCATGTTGCAGAACCTTGCTTCAAAGAGGCTAAAGATGAATTTTTCTACCAACAACCAGCTTTCATTCCTTCCAGTCAAGTATTTGATTCTCATAGAAACTTGGACAAAACATTAGGACCCTACAACAAAGAAACAGACCCTGGGAAAATAACAGAAATAATAGTCAAGTCAGCCTACATCACAGAAATTATCCCAGGATATTTTTCTCCTACAACTCACCAAGTACCTCCCCACCAACATGGATTAAAACCATTCAAGCCCCCAGATATCAGTCAAAATTGTCCTGGTCCCCCTCTGGTTACCCTGGAAAAGCTTGGCCTGAGAAAACCTGTGGAAAAATGAAAAGGGAATAAAATCATTAGCATCAGATCCTCAGAAATCATCTTTTCA